CCAGAAATGGGCATGTGTTATTGCTGCCTTTTAATTCTGGGCACAGGAATCGATTATTACTCACTTTTATTGACTTGTGATGCTAGTCATATAATGGTTGGAAATTTTGCATTACATATATGCCATATGTGCCATGCATGTGAATAATAAGACATTACCATGGCCTAGTAAAATCTAATTTTCTCCTCTCTCCAAGGATTACTAGTTAGCCAAATCATTGGGATAAAAAATGAGCATTTGGAGAACCCGAACTCCTCAACTGTTATTTTAGAAGTGGGATCAGAAGTGTCTGGACTGAGAACATACATGCAATATTCTCTTTAAAAGCCATAAAATGGAAAGAAAAAAGGGGGTGGGGTGATAGTTTGCTTAAGTCAACTTTTACTCTAAAATGAGCAGAAAGGCTTTCCATATGCAGAATCCCATTGCATAGAGCCTTAAGCTCTTTCTCTAACAGTAAAACCTCTTCAAAGCTTTTCATTCTAATTCCTATATTTCTACCTTCCTGCATCCCCCCATTTCCCCTTCCCAATGAAAATCACAGAATCTTCTAAAATGAGAGCATCTGCTATAAAAGTATCAGGGCATCTCTCATTTTTTCTAGGGTAGTTAAAAAGCAAGATAACTTATATCTAGGAAGAAACCTCCCTACCAGAAAATGATAAAAATTCCTTTAACATGATGTAAATTCTAGTTGCTATGAATTTGCCACAAGACATTCCTCTGAAATACAACCAATGTTAAATTCTTCTGTTAAAGAAATATTTCCCCCATGTCAATCATATGGATTTCTCCTCTTCTCCCTTTGTGCCACAATAAAATGTCTTATCCTCTCCCCAGAATTCTTTGAATCCTTATATTATGCCAAGTTTTCCAAACCTCCATAAAGAAATCTGCCTGGAATTTACAGCCTACCTACTTCAGATGAACTTGAATCAACCTTGAGCTGCTGCTTCTCTGTCTCTCTGGATTCTCAGAGGATCACATTCCTAAGAGAGCTGAAGAAGCATGAATCACATCGATCTTTAAGCTACCAGGAGTGTCTCCCTGAATGTCCCAGTCACACATAAAATTCATGTGCAATCATGGGGGAGAGAAATCATTCCTATATCATCCCAAAAGGAAAGCCACTCATCACATAGATCTATTCCTCAGCCTTTTAAAGATAGCCTAGTATAATGAATAGAGGGCCAGCCTATAAGACAGAAGTACTTGAGCTCAGGTCTTGCCTCTGATACGTAGTGTGTGACCAGAGGAAATGACTTAACTTTGCACCATTCCAAGCAATTCTTTAGAACTATGTCACCAGGGAGTTGCCAGTCTCCATCAAGGGACTGGAGTCCATCCATTCAATGGAGTTTCTACATTAGGAATGCCTTGGACAAATGAAATCAAAGGTCTGGATCTGCCCCATTTTTCCCATGGAAGTTTTTCGACGTACTCAACACCACAAGTACACAACTCCTAACTCACTGAATCACATAATTTTTTTAAAAGTTGGGTAACATCATAGGTCACAGACCTTAGAATATATGAATCCCCTAGCCAAACTCCAACATTTGGTAAATAAGGAAGTTGAGAATTAGTGGGAATGCCAGTTAATAACAGATCTGGGATTTCTGACTCTTAGACCAGTATTCTGAACTATGCAGCTTCATGATCTATTCTGATGTTAGAATTACTATGCTCATGATGGTCTCCTCATACTTTCAAAATGCCCACACTTACCAACAAAATCTTCCCTTAATTGTAAAGAAACAATAATAACGATAGATCATATTTATATAGCACTTCAGGATTTTCAGAGAATTTTGCATACATTATCTCCTTTGAACTTCCAAACAACCCCATAAAGAAAATGCTTTAATAATTCTCATTTTACAGATGAGAAAAGTGAAACTTAGAGTAGTCCAATGATTTGCACATAGTACCAAAGCTTGTAAGTGACTGAGGCAGTATTTGAGCCCAGGTCTTTTTGACTTCAAGTCCAGGACTCAATCTACTACCATGTTGCACATTCTCTTTAAGGAAGCTAGTAAAGACTCCAGGTCACAGGTTTTATGGCTGGAGCTAAGTAATCTAGCCAGCAATGAGTTCAAGGAGGATTATTCTAGTGGGCAGCAGGTTTGCTTAGCTAGATAGGGAAGGAAACAATATAATTTCGACAGGTGCATGAAGGATAAAGCCAGTCCCAAGATGCTAATAAATTGTTAGTATAAAAGCTTGAACAAAGAAACTATAAAGTACTTAGTAGAAAACAGAAAGAGGAAAACTCCCCCCTCTGCTTAGATTCACCTCAATGGGAGAAATTAGAAGGCAATGTTGTTTAAGAGCCCCAAAATGATGTGAGCATTTCAGGACAATGAAAAAACAGTGATGGCATCAATGCTAGTGGAAATAACACTGGATTTGGAGTCAGATGATCTGGGTTCTGACACCAATAACACCAGTTGCTACCTGGGCAATGTTGGGCAAAATCTTTCCGCTCTCTAGGCCTCAGTTTCTTCATCTGTAAAATGAGGGAGGTAGACGATGATATTTTTTTTAGGCAATTTGGGTTAAGTGACTTGCCCAGGGTCACACAGCTAGTAAGTGTCAAGTGTTTGGTCTGAGGCTGGATCTGAACTGAGGTCCTCCAGACTTCAGGGCCGGTGATCTATCCACTGCGCCGCCTAGCTGCCCCAACAATGATTTTTAAAGTCCCTTCCATCTCTAACTCAATGACCATTACAAAAAGGAGGGGGGAAAGAGCAAGAAAGGAGGACAGGAGAGATTTAGGGCTATGCCAAGAGCACCTATAAGTCTTCTGAATATGTCTCTTCAGCAAAGACGTTATAGAAATTTTATATCACATAAGTTCCTCCTCCAGTAAGGGACCTCATCCAGTTCTTAAATTAGTTTTAATATTTGTGAAAAGCTTTCGGTAGGATTAGTGTTACAATAGGATCATGAGATTCATAGGTTTAGAATTAGGAGGGTCTTTAAAGGTTATCTAGTCATGAGATATACAAATTTAGAGATATCTCCACTATAAATGTTCATATGGACTATTTGTGCCTGACCTGTGGCAGAGCCTTCCAAACTTGTGTTGGTCTGATCCGCCATAGTCAAATACACTGTTCCTTGATCCCAACAGTGACATCACTTTGGTCCTCTTTGAGCACAAACAACACCACCAGTCCAACCTTCTCATTTTACAACTTAGGAAGCTGAGTGCTAGGAAAGGAAAGGTTGCCTAGGCAATAAGTGACGGAGCCAGGATTTGAACCCAGGTCCTATGATTGCAACTTCCCCATTCTTTCAACTGCACCATAGCAGATCACTAGGGTGTGAGGATGATTCCACTACAAGGCTTGCAAAGCTCTTCACATACAGAGACATTTTATCCTCATAACAATCCTATGTGGTAGATAGGGATAGCTACTGAACCTGTGATTTCACTGGTCCAAGGAGCTCCCAGTGAAGAAGTCCCTCTACCAAAATAAGTTGCAATTTACAGTCCTAGAGAACTGCCCAGATCACTAAGAGGTGAAGTAATTTGCCTAAGATGGCATAGCCACTAAGTGTTAGAGGTGGAATATAAACTAAGCCTTCCCAGCCAGGAGGCCAGCTCTCTGCTTACTCTGACATACTACCTCTGAGTGTACAGGCATTATTATCCCTGCTTTTACAGATAAGGAAACTGAAGCTCAGAATTATTGGCTTATCCATGACCCGGCAGCTCATAAATGTCATACGTGAGATTTGAACCTGGATCTACTTGACTTTAAGTACAAAAATAGCATCTCACTAACTGGCCCTTCAAAATAAGTTAATGGGAAAAAATTTGCCAGTTAATTCTGCTTAGTTCTCCTTACATTCTTTTTAAGTTTTAATAAAGATAATTGGTTTTTTTGAAGTTTTATTTCTCATCATTTTAGGAGAAAATATAGTGAACAGAGTTCCAGACTTGGAATCAAGAACGGTTCAAATCCTGCTTTATACACTTTACTGTATGACTCTAGACAAATCACTTCCTCTTTCTTAGCCTTGATACTTTTAACTATAAAATTTGGATAATAAAAGCAGATAGCATTTGAATAGATTGGCAAAATTCTTAACATATTTTATTTATGTTTACATATTTTATTTTATTTATATTCTTTACATACCCTCACAACAAAGAGGTATGTGCTATTATTTTCCACATTTTACAGATAAGGAAACTGATGCAGACAGAGGTCAAATGACTTGCCCAGGAAGACTTGCCCAGCTAGTAACTATCTGAGTCTAGATTTGACCCAGGTCTTCCTGACTCCAGGTTAACTTATAGCACTTACCTCACAAGGTCATTGTCAGGACCTAATGAGATGAGGTATATCAAGTGCTTTGTGAACTTAAAGCACAATGTAAACGTCAGTCATTACTATTACTATTTAAACACTTTACAACTATAAAGTATTTTATGATTTACAAAGCCACGTACCCATATAATAAAAACATTGTGTATATTCTAATCCGCATTTTGAAAATTGGAAAGTGACCTTGCTAAGATCCCCAAACTATAAAGAACTGAAAATTCAGGCTTACTCACTTTGACACAAATCTTTCCAGTAGCCAATGAACCTGGATCATTAGGAAAATTCTCACAGTCTTTTAACTTTTTAAACAATATCAAAATTACCAATCAAATAAATCATTTTCCTTGAGGTATGGAAGTGGAAAGGTGTGGGAAGATCAAACAAGCTGTTTGGCTTTATGTAAAATAAAACAATCCATTTTTCTTGAGCTTTTCCACTTTATAACCCAATGTATTGGTGTCATGAAGAAATAGACTATAGGAGACCTTGGGAAAGTCATTGAAATTTTCCACAGGCTTCAGATTTCACTGACATAAAACAGAAATAAGATCAGCTTATCGTCCCATGGTTTTGTCACATGCTCATGTGAAAGGAGCTGTAGATTAAACAAACAAACAAACAAACCCCTTTCTGACACAAAATCAGATCTTAAAACCTTACCTAATAGGTTTGTCAACCACAAGGCAAGATCTTCTTTCATCGGCAACAAATTAGCTTCATGTCTGCTGGCCAGCCACTGACTGTACTGATGCATATCTGAGAGTCCTGGGCCGCTGCGTACTTTTGGGCTCAGGGCTGTACACATCATTTATCTGGTTGCAATACCTGTTTGAGAAACAAAACAGTTGGAGTTGATTATAAAAAGTCTTACATTTGATTTCTGACAAATGTAAGTGGTGACAAGCTGAGGCTCCTGATATAATCATTGACCTTATTCATGGATGCTTTGATGACAGAGAGTCTGATTAATCATTAAGCCACATGTTGTACCATTTTTCTTTTATCTGAGTTCTCTTCTGTTCACACTCACTCAGTCTACTGACCATATCATTAGGAAACAGCCCAAACCAAGGTCAAATATGAAACTCAAACTAGGTTATAAGCTGGGGTTAAAACAGTACATTTAGTTGAATTTAAAATATCTGATAAACACAGTTTCCTCCTCTTAGTATCCATACTGAGTGGTAGATAGTGGGTACAGAATGTCACATACATTGTCAAATATGATAATGTTCGTGGTCAGTTTTACTTAACTGGTTTTCTTTCAAAGGAGACGTCAGTCATAGCAGGCAAAATATTCTATATTTTTAAAAAATCAATAAAGCTTTTTCTCTTTAAAAGCTATGATAATATTTTTGCTAAATTAAACATAGTAAAACATTGTTACATATAGAAATATACACAATTTAATTCAAATTTGCTTTTAGAATAGAAGTTGGAAGTGGACAGCTTTGGAAATCAATAACATTAATACAGTATGTTTATACTTCATATCATATAATTTATGATTCAGAAATCCTCATCCTCTTTCAAATATTTGTTCCTCGTAGAAAGCTATTTACAATAATCAGTAACTGCTAACGAAATTTTAATTTACAATGGTTAATGAGGACAACTAACCTGAATATAAAAGCATTATTCTTTAGCTTTGACCACAGGATTTTTTTAAGGGGATTTCACTACCTTCTTTCTATGTGATTATCCTGTTCCTTTATTATACACTTTTAGTGGAGGAGGTGGAATTATAAGGAAAGGAGTGACAACGAAAGGTATGGATGAGAAGAAAAGGACACTTTAAAAAGGATTTTTAACTGTAGCAATGATTGGTTTGGTTTTTTTAAGATAAAAATAAGACTCCTTAGAAGTTACAGCTTCTGTAACCATATGTAAATCACAAGCAAATGTGCTTTCAGTTCTAATTACTTCATATAGCTGCATCTGACTTTCAGGAAAAAAATGTCAGCATGGACATTTGATGGAAAGGGCCAATACACCAAAAAAGAATGGATGTGTCATCTCACTAAACCCATCAACACCTTGTATTTGTAAAACAAAAGCAAGTTTCATTTTCTTCTGTCCCTTGGGAATGGGTTTCCTAGACTCACCCCCCCCCAAAGGAAATTATTTAAGTTTCTTCAAACATTAAGAATTTGACTTTAAACTTAATGTATTTATACATGCATTAGACATGGGAAATGAGACTGAAGAATTAGTTATAGAGCAGCCAAAGCTTTAAACTCAACAAGTTCACTAATTGTTCCAATTAGGAGTAAAGGACTCTATTCTTTGGTCAACTCATGGGCTGCTAATGAATCAGGCAACAAAAATGAATGTGTTCACAGAAGACAAGATGGCAAAATGACTGATTATATTTAGCATATTATGGAATTGTCAGGTATTTGTCAATTTTGAGGAATATTTTAAGAATACCTTAATGAACCAAAATTCAAATGTTCATTCCAATCACTAGTGCTTTGGACTGAATTCCTTTTTTTCCCCTCAGTTAATCTGAAACACAAATCCATACATCCACATTCCCCTCACTCTTTTTGCCTACCTAAATGTATACCTTTGAAAATTCTCTTTAAAAGAAAACATTTAAATCTGTAGATTTAGTCTTTCCAGTGACTATGAAAATGTTACTCTTTCCCTAATATTTAATTTTTACATTAGAACTGACTTTGGGGAAGAGAAGGCAATATTTAGCAGATCTCCCGCAGTGGGTGGATGGGGAGCAAACAATGAAAGTACAGCCTAATCCCCTGTATATTTGTATTTTATATATTCTTTGAAATTCTTTGGTATTCTTATAGAAACCTCTATCTCCTTACCAGGTAGAAAAGAGAAGGGGCCAGGAGCCGGGGTAAAGAGTTAGGGGGGAATAAAAAAGGGACCAGTGCTCAAGTTTTGAAATTTCCTTGAAGGTGATAAATCCCCCTTAAAATTTTCATACCTTTTGGCTGCCAAGGTCATAGAGCTGCTGAAATGTTTTGTAATCTGTCTGGCCATATGTTACCAAGTTGTCAGAAGAGGGAGCCGAGTTTCTCGTTGTTTATAGCTTCTGCAGCTCATAATGACATTATTCATATAAAGTGCTACAGCCTCTCCTTAAACTCAGTGATTAAATACTAGAAACCTAAAACACTTGCCCCAGTTCTTTTCATAAAATATTAGTCATCCAGAAGGCAACACTTCCCGGGGGGGGGGGGAGAGAACCCACCCTCCAAATGCTTGCTTAAAGTTCCTATAGGCTAACTTCCTCAATTAAACATCTAAGCAATAATACATTTAGCACATGACTCACACATTTAAATAACTGATTGAAAACTTTAAAAGGTTACCTCTAAAATGTCTTTCTTCTTAAGAAACAATCTCTCCCACTACTTTCCTGAAAGTGAGATGTGGTGGTTCAGTAACTCTACCTAGGCCCTATTATGGATGCCCCAACTCACATTCATGCAGCACCGTCCTATTTTGCACTCTTTTTTTAAGCAAGAAGACGGCTTTGATTCTTAGGCTCATTGTCTAGCCCAGAATTCAGCCCAGGATAGTTTACAGTGCACCTAACGGCATGTAACAGTTTCCAACCAGCCAGAGGGATACATTTCTACCCCCTTCATCCCAGGAAACAGAGTGTTTCTTATGTTCCTGTACAGTGGCACCTTTATTTGTCAGGCAGCTTGGATGGTGCTTCGCCAATAATGTAATTCAAACTATCTTATAATGTTTGCAAATGATCGCTGTGTAGAAACAATAAGAGTAATTTAGCATTTTTTGGTGTGTGCCAATAGACTGTCTTTTTGATGGACTTAATTAGCTACTGGGATAGAAAAACTAGAAGGACCCAACAGGGAGGGAGGTGGGACTCAGTGGATGAGTAATATAATAGTGAAGTTATCCAATTCAACTCGCCTAGAAACATAAGCATCTAAAATCGCTGCCTGCTTGGATGTCTCCCCTGCCTAGAATCCCTTATGAAATGAATGAGAGGTATCAATTCAGCTTCACCTATCCTTGTGTTCACATCTCCAGGAACATTACCAGTTGTCTTGGTATGACTTAGTAGCATCGTTGGAAATCGCCTATGGGCTCTGTGAGTTTAGACTCAGAAGAGGGATGAATAAGGAAAATGGAATGGAACCAGTTGACCCGGTCAAAATCAGAGAAAATTGATAACATCTACACTGTAGCACCCAGATGATTAAAAACGTAAAAGGAATTGAAATTGCTTGTGCTAATGGAGAAATGCTCTGAATATGTGGAAATTTGATAGATTTAGGTATGAAAACATTAAGTTCTATGTAAGTAGGGGAAATTTCAACTACATTTTTCTTAGGCATTGGAATATTTTTTTTCCCATGGGACCATGGATCTAGAAGAGGCAGAGAGAAGGTAGCATGTAGAGATCTAGCCTCAAAGTCAGAAAGACCTAGATTCAGGACTCACTTCTGACACCCACATAGGCTATTTGACTCTGACACCACTAAAATCCCAGGGTCAGTCCCTGTCCTCTATCCCTTAGAACTAGAACTGGAAAGGGCTTTAGCAATCTAGCTCAATCTGTTACTTTATAAATGAAAGACCTGAGGTCCAGAAAGAAATAACTTACTTTCAAATAAGTCACACAAGTCGCAAGTAGCAAAGATGGGATTTAAACCCAGATTCTCTGCATTCTAATGTGCTGCCTCATAGATTACCAAGAAAATGTATGTAAGTTTAAAAGATCCTTAGAACGGAAATTGGAAGAAGTGGGGAATAAATGGCTTCTTGCTCCTGCCAGCTCTGATTCTGATATTATGGGGGCTGCATCTGCCCTTTTGACAAACAGAGGACTAGATCCCTGGGACTGTTAATTTATTGAAAACTTCACTTTATAAAGAGAAAAAGAACAGTAAACCAAATAAAAAATTCTTCTGAATGTTCAATCTAAGGTCTTTCTCCTTTCATGGTTAAGAATAATAATTAAGATGACACTTGAACCAAGACCAGGGCAAATGAAGAAGCTAATGATCCAATGACTGACATGTTTAAAGTATCAGTCCAGTCTACTAATGCTCTGGGATCCCTGATTTTGTAGGCAGAGGATATCTCAATAATGAGAACTGTAAATAAACAGCTTTTTTTTTAAAGATGTCTAAAGATCTATTAATTGACCAAAAGTGCATACTATTCAACTTTGGTGGATCCCAAACTCATAGAATATTAGTACTGGATCAGTCTCTGACGTTGAACACAACATGTTGAAAGAAATAGCATATTACTGAGTGACAGATAACCTGAGAATGGAAGAAAAAAAATAAGGCTATCATTCCAGTCTGATGTGAGAACACTCCAGGTGTCTCAGTACAGTGCTTTCTTAACCACAGTCAGATTTCTATTATTTTTATTTTTTAACTTCATTGTAAAATAAAATAGAAATATTCTTTTTTCTTTCCAATTACCATTTGGACTAGTCATGTAACATCCTTGGGCATTAGTTTTCTAATCAGAGAATAATACCAGATGGACTCTAAAATCTATCCCACGTCTATATCTGTGATTGATTTATGAGGTCAAAAACAACAAAACAATCAATGTAAATCCCAAATGCTTTATACACAAGGTGAGAAAGGTCCTTCAATGGTAGGCTGAAAGATTGGTTTGGAACAGATAGGAGTTTCAGATTGTTTTATTTTCAAAAAATTTTTTTTTAAAATTGGAATCAGAAGATACCTTGGCAGCCATCTAGTCCAACCCACCCATACTTGCACAGGAGTCCCCTTGACAACATTTGCAAATGATCACTCTGTAGAAACAATTAAGAGTAATTTAGCATCCATGCATGT